AAGAATGAAAACCCTAAGACTAATTCCTTCACAAGCATGAATTAAGGCAAAAGAGCAAGCCAATTCCATTCCATGATGATCATTGAGTCAAACCCTAACCAGAATGCAGCAAAAGTCTCGCTCAAAAGTGGATTGGAACTTTGAAAAATAAGCCATATAAGTCAAAACTGAAATCAGTGCTAGACGATCTTTCAAGCCTTAATTCTTTGACCATTAGCATCCTGAGGCATTTCTGAACACATCCCAATTCCTAACATCAATCAAAACACGCAGAAGCAATAGCTACAACTCAAGCTGTACATAAAATTTTTTGAAATCGTATTCTTAATTCTAAGCATCTTCATTGCATTTCAATTGGATATTCTTGTTCCATGTGATGTTTCCAAGCTATTCATGATGTTTAATTTCATTTTTGTTGATCATATGAGATTCTACCATTTTCGAATGTTAGGGTTACAGGTTCTTTAATTTAGGGCTTTCAAAAATAGGCAAAATCAAAGCTCAAGACCATTGTCATTAAAACCAGCATGTTCCAACGAGCAAGAAACAACCATCGCGAACAATTTATGTAGCCTATATGGCTATTCGCTATTTTTCCATAGCATGTTTAAAACAACGCTTCAAAACCGTTGCTGTTGTGTTTTTTGTTTCAGGGCACGCGAGGAAGAAGAAGTCGTGTCAGCTGGTGATTGATCAGTTCAAATCTCGCGCGCAGTTCAAATAGCACTAGCCTTTTGCTTTTATAATGTTTGTTGATTAATATATATTAAATGAATTCAAAGTGGCTCAGTGGCCAGGGACACGCGCATGTAACCTCAATGACCTGGGTTCAAGTCCCAGGTCTGGCAAAATTCATATTATTTTTCAAAACAAAATTCCATGCTTTGCTAATGTCCAGGTGCACCATAGGCCATCATGATCCAAACGCATACGTGTCCCAGATGATCATCCAAGGGCTCAGAATCAAGGTATACCATGGATGCAAGTCAACAGGCGTGCACGTGGCTTAGGGAAGTCAACCAATTCAAGTAAATGGGCCAGGCTTTTCAAATCAATACCTCCACAATGGGACAGAACACCCCCCTGGTTCTATCTTTTTTTCTTTTTTCTAATTTTCTTTATATTCTATTATTTTTAAATTTACTTGTGTATTTTATTTTCTGATTTAATTAATTCTTACAAAAATATAAAAACATTAAAAATACAGAAAGGACAAAAAAATATAATTAACTTTGATTACTTTTACAAATAAATTAAAATGTAAATCATTTAGTTTAATTAGGTTTTAATTTTAATTCTTTTTCATAATAAAAATCCAAAAAATGTAGAATTAGGTTAATTATTAATTTTTTATATCTTTTTTTAATTGTTCTTTTTTTCTCACAATATTATTATTTATTATTTTTATTTTTATGATTAAAAATTGTACATAAATTAATTTAGAATTAAATTTGGTTAGAAATTAAATCTTTTTCTTAATAACTTAAAAAACATTAGAACTAGGGTTTAGCATTTTAATTTTAATTAATTTTTCTTTTTTTCTTTTTTTTTTTTATTTTTAAATCTAAAAAACACAAAAATACCATTTTTCATTTAATTTTAATTTTAGATAACTTAATTATTTTAATTTCTTTAAAAGGGTTCAACGCCCTCGCATTTGATCATTTTCTTTTTCGCGCATTTCATTTATTTCTTTTGTGAATATAATGTACTTGTACCAAAGCCATGTAATAGCCATTAGACATTTCTTTTCTGCAATTTATTTTAAAACGGGTCTGGATTAATTTGGCGTTGTAGACCCTCGCCCTTTGTAATAGCGTAGGACTTTTATCCTTTCCGCACTTTAAATTCCCGCACTTTTAACTGCTAAACAATAACATGAAAGAATGAATGCCCAAAAATAAAATCGAATCGTTAGATCACCAATGCATGACAAGACAAACAATAAACTGAAAATGACACACAATTCGCACACACCACCCCTAGGGTACGCCTCACTGTTGCCTTTCGAAAGGTGGTCGTCGAGTAGAAAACGTCTTAGTAAGTCCTCATGATCCGGGAACCTGGCATGAGGGTAGCTTCTAAGGTGTCTTCCCATTGCTCTGGTGATCACCATGTCCCTAAAACTCGAATTGACCCGAACACCTCCAACGGTGGTGCTACCTACCTCTCAATGGTGGGATGGCACTACTTTAAAGGACATTTACACAGACGAATTCCTTAGGGTAGGTAGGTTCTCAAAGATACTTGCTCTAATTTCAAACAAAAAAACACTTTTCACACCAACACATTTTCAAAAGCTTTCAAAGCAAACTTTTCAAACACTCTGACGTACGAGTTGAACTGAAACTTTTCAAAGAATATTTTTGAAACCCACATTGAAAAGCAAACAAACCATTTTGAAAACACATTGAGCAAGTACCTAAGAGCCCATGGATAACCATGGATAGAAAGGGTGCTAACACCTTCCCTTTCTATAACCTACCTCCCGAACCGAGAGCAATCTCTTTAAAGGAATTTTTCTGTGCTTTTGTCCTTTCCATTTGGAGAAAATAAAAGACGGTGGCGACTCTTGCTTACCGCGACATTTCGCGAACCAGCTTTAAAACAGTCAGTTCCAGATCCACCGATCACAGAACTGGCGACTCTGCTGGGGAAATATTTAAAGTGAGGTGTACCTTAGGACTAAGATCATTGTGTTTTCAATTGCTTTCCTTGTATGCTTTAAAATTGTGGGTTGCTTGGGAGTTCTATAGATCCTAACCCGGATCTGGGGGATACCCTTTTAGAAAGTAGCAACAAGGCTGTGAGGGAACTGTGCGGGGTATACCGACATGGTTGAAACAGTCTGCTACGTTGATGTGGCACTTTGGTGTGTACCGGTAACCCTTGAGTCAGTCAAGGAGAGTACGGGGCCTCCATGTGGTGTCATGAAGCATCAACAGACCTTAGGAACCTTAATTGAACCATCTTGGCCTCTTTAGGGTAGTGAGATAACTGACTTTGGTGCAGTCCGAGGTTGGTTGATACTCGATACTACACTCAATTGAGGGTTGCTTTCCTGGAATATTTCGGTCGCCAGTTCAGTGGCTAAATCGAAACGATGAACAATGAAAGCAATCCCGTGATATTGGGAACCTTAGAACCCGGTTACTTTGATTAGGACAGGTTGAACCCACCAACTTCAAGAGGGTACTACCCAGACCCCATGCTGGCCTTAAACCTTAAGGGCCTGTCTTGTGTGCCTTGTGTGCCTTACATGTTTGTCTTTGTAAATATCTGTGGTGTGTTTAATCATAGCATCATGACATCATCCAGCATCATATGCATCAACTAACCATTTCAGGGGTTCGAATTTTCATCTTTGTTCCTGTTTTGTAGGACATGGAAACTGTTCGTAGAAAGACAATTCCAATCAGTCTTGTAAGAGTCCCTCCTCAGCTTAAGGAGCTTATATCCAGGATTCCCGAGAACTCTTCATTCAGTGAAAGGCATGGAAGCCTCATCAGCTTGGTCAACACCAACATTGAGGAAGATATGATAAAGGTCTTGTTCCAGTTCTTTGACCCTCTGCATCACTGCTTCACCTTCTTGGATTATCAGTTGGTACCTACATTGGAGGAGTTCTCCCGACTCCTGAAGATCCCTATCCTTAATCAGCTACCCTTCAACGGTACAGAAAAGGAACCTAAGCTTGAAGAGATTGCTAAAGCCTTGCACCTACAGTCATCTGACCTCAAGGGACATTGGGAAGTCAGAAGTGGTATCAAAGGGTTCTTAGCCAGGTTTCTGTTTGAAAAGGCCTATGAATGTTGGAACTCCCTTGACTTGCAAGCTTTTGAAAAGGTTGTGGCCCTCCTTGTTTATGGTTTGGTGTTGTTCCCTAACCCAGATCAGCTCATTGATATCAGTGCTGTCCAGATCTTTATGTCCAGGAATCCTATACCTACGTTGCTGGGGGACCTCCTTCACTCATGTTACACTCGAACCATGAGAAAAAGAGGTGTCCTTATGTGTTGCACTCCTCTCCTGGGAAAGTGGTTTATTTCGCACCTTCCACAATCAGTCCTGAAGAACGAGCGGGGTTTGAGATGGTCACAACGGTTGATGACTCTTACACATGCAGATATACATTGGTGCCCTAGGTCCAGAGAAGATGTCACTATCATTGATCGTTGCGGGGAGTATCCTAATGTTCCTTTACTTGGAATCAGAGGGGGTATTACTTATACACTACAAGAAAATTAGTGTTTAACGACACAAAAATTGCGACAGTTATGTGATAACTGTCGTAATTGACATATAGAGACAGTTTTTACGACGGTTGACACCAACCGTCCCTAATATTTATTTTGCGACGGTATATTTAACCATCATAATATTATTATTACGACGGTAAAACAACCGTCGGCCCCCATTTAACACTTTTAACATTGATTTTTCACCAACAACTAGTCACGACGGTAAAATTAACCGTCCTAAAAGGCATATCACGACGGTAAAGCACCCGTCGCACCCTTAAACCTTTCACGACGGTAAAATTATCCGTCCTAAAATTTATTTCACGACGGTAAAACAACCGTCGCACCCAAAACCTTTAAAAATTCTTTTTATGATTTTTTAGGTTTTCTAATTTGTTGTTTTAGGGTTTGATTTGATTATTAGATTAAATATGCAATAAAATGTGAAAGGCTAACCTCTTAGCATTACTTCCTCTCTCTATGATTCCTCTTTCTTTCTTCTACATTTCTCAAAACTGGAACTAAAAAACTCCAATTTCCTCTTCAGTTCATGACAATCCCGCAACAACAAAAAAAGACAGAACACATGAGGTTTACCAACACGATTCCAACTTGTGTCGATGGATAATTTGGCCGGCGGCTTTGGTGTGTGTGACGATCGGAGTTTATGGCCGAAGCAATAGCGGCGGCCGGTGGTAGTTGAGAGGATGATGGCGGATTGTTGAGCAGCAGAGGGACCTCACATCGGCTGTGTATGCTATGTGGAGAGAGACAGTGTGCGTTGTGGTTGTGTGGGTCATACGGAGGTGGCTGATGCAGAGAGGGTCTCTATGTTTGCGGAGATGTGGCTATGACCCAACAAGGGCACCATTGTGGTTGGTGACAGTGACCAGTTATGCACGGTGGCTGGTCGGTGGTGACATTATGTATGGCGTGGATTCGAATCTGTATGTGTCGGTCTCGAGGTATCATTCTGGCGAACAAGCTTTTGGTTTCTACTTCAATATCCTTTCTTTTGCATATAGAAACTTGGATTATATTTATGTGTTATGATATTGTATTATGGTTTTTGACAGGTTGTATGAATTAATGGTGATTTGTTTTGACAAGTTTGGCTTATGGTGAAAATAGAGTTTATGTTTGGTTTTATGGGCTGTTATTGTTGTGATTTGTTATGATAAAAAATGGTGGATGATAGGTAGAATGATTTTATAGTATTCAAGAAGCCTACTATAGTAGTCTCATTGATGTTGAGCATTAGTTTTAACTAAATATGGATTCTTTAAACATTTTCAGGATGTATGGAACTGCGAAATATGTAATCACAAACCTGGCCGTGGGTTGGGTAAGTTTTATTTTCTTGAGGTTCTTTTTCTGCATTTCATTATTCAGTCTATTTATATTCATCACCGTATGAATGGCCTCTTCACTTTTTCTATTAAATATATCTGTTATTGATTTGTTGCAAATGTCAGTCTGTTGAACTATCCCCCATCTGACTGTTTATGTTTTTTCTGGGTTTTTAGAAGCAACTGTTGAGGTTCTTCCCTGGCTTTTCAAAGTAAAGTATGATAGTGGCACTCTGGAAGAGCTACTTTATGTTGACATGCCCGCAAATATCATAATTCCTCTGGAAAGATTGTTCTAGACTATGCAAAAGTAATACAATAAAGTGTTTTTGACGAGAAGTAGTTATGCCGAGTTTATTGAAGTCATTACCCTTATTTTTTCTGATTATTCAGATTGAACATGTCATAGCTGAGAGGAATCTCCTTGCAGAGGTTGACAGCAATTGCATAGTCAAACTTTATTGTTCTTTCCAGGATGATGATTATCTATATCTTATTATGGAGTATGTACTGGGAGGGGATATGATGACTCTACTTATGAGAAAGGATACTTTGACCGAAGATGAAGCCCAATTTTATGTAGGCGAAACAGTTCTGGCTATTGAATCTATACATAAACACAACTAATATACATAGGTATCTATAGAATCGGTAATTTATTTCATACTATAAGTCAAAGTCAATTATTTCATGCAGGATTTCAAGAAATAAGTATTGTTACGGTTGCATTCATCGTAGTCTCCAAAATGATCATATGTTGAAAACTATTTGATGCTTCAGTCTGATTTATTTATCTTCATGGAAGTTTAGATATTTATTTATCTTCTCTATATGTTATGTTGCAGGGATATTAAGCCTGATAACTTATTTCTTGATAAATACAGGCACTTGAAACTATCAGATTTTGGACTATGTAAATCGGTAGACTGTAGTACACTTGAAGAATTAGATTTTTTCTAATTGTCATAATGCAAATGGAATTGGACATAGTGATGATCGTCCGAAACGTACACAACAAGAACAATTGGAAAGCTGGCAGAAAAACAGGAGGACACTTGTAAGTTCATTGCTATTGTATCGTTGTCTCTTTTTTATTTATTACTATGACAAAATGTAACTGTGAATCTAAAATCTTTATGATGAATTGGATTTCTGTTTTTGGTTTATTGTAAGTGGGAATGTATAAATGATGCATGCTTATTCTACTGTTGGTACACCAGATTATATTGCTCCAAAAGTTCTATTGAAGAAAGGTTATGAGATGGGAATGTGATTGGTGAGTTCTGTGTGTGATTGTTGGCATTAAAATTACGACACTGTATAGCTGATACCACTTAGTGATAAAAGGCTTTATCATTGTCAGCGCGTGTATTTTATTTTGAAAATTGACAATTATTTATTTCACAGATGGTCACTTGGAGCTATTATGTATGAAATGCTGGTGGGATATATTAAGTTGTACACTCTGTTTATTCATTCTTATTATTACTTCATTTTTATTATCCACAGATTAGTCAGATTGGAGCGGTTGCCAGAGGCTTTATCTCAAAATGCAACACCCAATATTTTACTATGCTTAAGTTCAATATTTTTTCTTTTCATATATTTTTCTTATTTTGTTATTTTGTTGTAGAAGTCATTTCTGTGAATCACAAAATAGTATTCTATATGATACAATATTCTGTCAACCCTATGTGTTATAACATGTTGGAAGCATGTACTTTGTTTATAATATATTATTGAGAAACTTTTTGCACAGTATGTGATTCAGTTGACTAGATAAATATATGCAAAGAAATGTGAGTATAATTGCAAGTATAACTTACCGGTCACTTTGAATCAAATATGGGCTGTTATTGTTCATGAAAGTCTAGGAGTGAAGTTATTGCTTCCAAATGGTAGTCAAGGAAGGATCATGGTCCTAGCATGGAAGTTTAACACAAAATCACTTAACACTAAGGACTTTCATGAATTTTGTAGAATATTGTAACATTTTTTGTAATTCTCTCAAGTTGTAGCAAACCAATGTAAATATTAAAATGAAATTTGACCTTTGAAGATATTTGAATTTTTCTTGTTTATTGGTAAAATTTGCACTTCTTTTTACCTTTGATCACATTTTTTTTTATATTAAATGTTTTTATTGTAATTAACTTTATTATGTTGAAAAGTGATAGAAAATAAAATAAAAATACTATAAATAAAAAAATATTAAAGTAAATAATAATTTAAATATAATAATAAAATAATATTATATTTAAAATTATTTTACTAAATAATAATTTAAATAAAAATATTATTTGAAATTTATAAATCAGATTACGACGGTTAAAACCGCCGCAATTTCTAACCTACGACGGTAGAATAACCGTCGCAAACAACAACAAAAACAAAAAATAAAGTCAAATTCACGACGGTATATAACCGTCGCTATCTGTTGTGCGTGACAGTTTTTGCAACCGTCGCGAAATAGGCTGGGGACGCACGATTCTGCGACGGTACTTCTACCGTCGTAGATTGTAAATTGCGACGGTTTTAACCGTCGTAATCAGCCAAAATAACCGTCCCAATCTATCATTTTTCTTGTAGTGATAGTCCATGCCTGGCTTGGAGACAATTTGGTTATGCTCGGAGGGATGGTCCTCATGACATGTTGATTCCTGACATAGTTTTTGACTTCGACAACGATACTCAAGGACTTCGCCAGAGATTTATCAGAGCTTGGAGGATGCCTAGTAGGATAGACAGCAAGACACTGGGGCACAGGAACTCCATCCCTTTGGAGCCTTACCTCAAGTGGGTACGAGCCCGCTCTCAGAAATTAGTAATGCCTTATCCTCACATGCTTCCAGTAATCAAAGAGCCTGCCTTGGAAGGAGAGGTGTCTCATGTTATTCAGCACCCTGATATGCCCACATCCTGGGAAGAGATGCAGAAGAGCTGGATCCAGCTTAAGGAAGAGCGGAATTCTTTTGAGACTAGTTTGCATGCCAGTGAAAAGAAGGTCTCGGAGCTCACCCGCCTGTTGCACGAGGAAAGGAATCTCAACACTTACATAGCTCCAAAGAAGATGCGCAACATATTTTGGATGTGACTTGATCTTTTTGTACTTTTGCCCCATGAGGCTTTGATGTATTAAACAATGATTTTCTTAATAATAACGTGTGTTCCTTTTGGTCTATAACAAATTTGAATTTTCGAACCCTTGAATGCATTGCATAAACACATATCATTCATCATGTGCATCATAGGTACTCTTCTTTTCAGGTTGTTTACCGTTCTTCGCTGTTTATTTCAGCATCATGAATCCTGAATCATCAACCGAGGCGTCTATCAAGGCTCTTCAGGCGCAGAACGTCCAGTTTCAGGCGCAAAACGCCCAATTTCAGGAGCTGATCAAGGGCTTGGCTCAGGGTCAACAAGAGTTGAAGACCATGCTTCTGAAGAAGACTAAGAAGAAGAGGAGGACTGTGCTATTTAACACTGGGCGCAGACTCGGGAACACTTTGGTTGAAGCTGAAAGGACTCCCCCATCTGTGACGGAAGGTAGTCACCATGAAAGGGAGGTCACTACTCCTGTGGGCTCTGATACTGAGACAGACTTCAACGACGACCAGCACCCTCCTGCTGAAGACCGGTACAAACAGCTGGAAGACAGATTAAAGGCTGTGGAAGTTCAGCGGGTGCCTGGATTGGATTTCGGAGACTTGGGGTTATCTACTGGGGTGGTGATCCCACACAAGTTCAAAACACCTGCCTTCGTGAAGTATGATGGGGCTTCCTGTCCCAAGATGCACCTCCGTTCTTATGTAAGGAAGATCCAGCCTTACACAGCAGACAAGAACCTTTGGATCCACTTCTTCCAGGAGAGTCTTTCAGGGACTCACCTCGACTGGTTCTATCAGCTGGATGGAATCAGCATTCGTAACTGGGAGGATCTGGCCACTGCTTTTTACAAGCAGTATCAGTATAATGCCGACCTCGCTCCTACGCGTACCCAGCTCCAGGGTATGTCGCTAGGGTCGGGTGAAGGTTTTAAGGAGTACGCCCAGAAATGGAGAGACCTGGCTGGCAGGGTGCAGCCACCATTGACTGATCGGGAGTTAGTAGACATGTTCTTGGGGACCCTATCTGGTCCATTTTTCAATCATCTCATTGGTAATTCCTCTGCTGGGTTTACTGATCTGATCCTGACGGGTGAAAGGATTGAGGCTGGTATAAAATCGGGGAAGATACAGAAAGTTGCCTCCTCCAGTACTGAGAAGAAACCCTTCAAAAAGGAGGCTAGTGCTGTATATAACTCCCGGAGAACAGAGCGACCTGAACACCGCCAATCTGTCAGTGCGGTAATGATTGCCAAACCTGCTGCCGCTCCTCGGCCAACTAATCCTCAAAAGTTTGAAAGACCCCGGAGAGAGTTTACCCGTTTGAGCATGACCTTATCACAGATCCTGCCACAGTTGTTATCCACCAATTTAGTGACTGTCAGGGAGGCTCCAAAGTTTCCCAATACTGCATCTCCTAAGTACAACCCGAATGCTCGTTGTGCTTACCATTCAGATAGTCCGGGGCATTCTACTGATGACTGTTGGGCGCTAAAGAACAAGCTGCAGGACCTTATTGACGCCAAGGAGGTACAGTTTGAGGCATCTGACAAGCCTAATGTGGTGGCGGCTCCCCTACCTGCTCATGGAGTGAATGCTATTGGAGACGAAGACGAAGTGGATGATGCTGAGTTTGATAGCTGGATCTACCCGACAACCGACAGTGGGCCTAACAATTGGAGTGCAAAAGACAATCTCTCTGTTTCTATTGTTCCTCAGTAATGAATTTCTTTGTTTTTTGATTTGTAATAAACAATAATTTGAAACTATATGGCCCGGTGTCTTACCCGGGGCACCGTGGTTTCATTTGTGAGGGCTTTTTGTTTGTCACTATCATATATCATGAATAAAAGCATTGGACGTTTTTCACAATTCAAATTTTGCGCTCCTTTTCTTTCCTTTCTTTACATATTACAAAACAGCTGTATTTACACACACACTCACTCATACAGGTTTCAATCCACTCTGGATCTCACTGGTAACGGCTCTGCTACTGCCAGTTATGACTTCGAAAATCCGATCAACTTAGCCGAAGACGAAGGTGAAGATGATTGCGAAGTGCCTGGTGAACTTGCAAGACTGTTACAACAGGAGGAGAGGGCAATTCAACCC